ATTCTGCCTGATTGCCCAGCCGTTGCCTGGCATTTGCAACAGACAAATCTTAAGGTAATTTTCTCAAATAATGTGATTTGCTATGGTAAAATTTTAACAACTCTTTATAAACAGTTTGAGGTTATTCGCACTGAAAGCGTGTAGTCTGTTTGGGAAAATCATCTACCTCCAAGCGTTGTAAAATTGGCACAATTCCGGTGCGTAAGCTTTAATAGACTGAAACTTCATTTTTTAGAGTAAAAGCAAACAATAAGTCGAAGCGTTGGGAAATGCGCTGGTTAGACTGCTTTCTCTTGGCAATGTAGAGTTCTCAGATAGTCGCGGGGAAAGGCAGATGTAGCAGATGCTTGGGCGCTAACTAATGTTCTTTCTCTCATGTTGGTTTATGTATAACCCCGCCATACCTTTAGTGTCAGGGTAGTTTTTCGCTACAGTTTTTTCCCCCATCACGCCAACTTACTGCTGCTTGTTGCCGCCGCTACTACATGCGATGATCAGCTACAAATAGCCGCTGCCGCATGGGTGAGTGGGTGGCCTGCACTTAAGTAGCTTCGTTGCTGTGACTCATGCGCACGAGTTAGTGGGCCGGTCGATCAGTGGATCAATGATTTGATAAGACCACCTGCTGTGCAGCTGTTGTGAGTTGGCCAGCTGGTTCAGTAGTCAGCTTATCGATTGATCGATGAGAATTACAGGAGCTACCAAAATATAAAGGATGGATGAAAGGATGAATCGAGAGGCAAGGGTAAAGGAAAAAATGCGCCTTCATTTAAACGATTAATCGATTTTGTCTGAGGTGTGCACCCATAATCTACTTATTATTGATATTATTTTCCATCTACAGGGTCTCAACACGTGCCTTTGTCAACTAAGAGGCACCGGGCTAAAGCCATAGGGTAAAAACATGATACTTACAGGTCTACCAAGTGGATGGTGAAGGAAAAGCAAAAAGGAGATTTAGTCAATGTCTACGAGTATGGTTAATCGATTGCGGGCCATTCAGAGCTTGTGTGAGGAGGAAATATGCCACAAACTGCACTGATTATTCGAACTTGTACCTCAAAATCTGCCTGTGTTAGTGCCACTCCGCTTTTCTTCCACCCACCTCATTATTCAGCGTACCTACAAATCAGTGTAAGGGAGGGGAGATTGGCGGCAGTGCTTAAGGTTAACGAATATCTCGGCCAAAATGATAGGGAAGGGCAGAGTGGGTGGGATGTTTGTGTGTATGAAACAAGGGGAAAATATGAGGAGGAGGAATGATATCCAGTCTTGATATAAGTGACAAATTACAATTCCACTGCATTTGTTAATGATGCTATTAAAGGAATAAAAAAACAAAAGGACATCAGAAACATGCTCTACCGAAAGCTGTGAGGGATGGTGGGCTCTTATTATTAGGCTAAACCAAAATTTTAGGAAGAGTATTAGGCTGCCATCTACCACCACAATGCTTTAAAAAGAAGAAAAAAATGTTATGATTCAGACCTGTAGATTTAATTCCATTTACGCTGCACGTTTCACCAAGTACCAGTGGCCCCAGGGTATAATAAAATAATCGCGTAAACATAATTTTCGAACCCATGAAAGAGAGGCTTATTAGCACCGACTCCAATTGCTTGAGGCAAAAATGTTAGAAGAGAAAACAGCCACATTATATTCGACTGCCTATATTTGTATAAGTTCTATAATCTTTTTTTCCAGGCATTGTACGATTTTCATCAGAGCCCTATCTCAAGTTCACGAACAATGGATGCGCCACACAGTGCATAATGTTTTAACTTTAAATTCCACCACTTCATGCTAGAATATATAGTGTTATTAACAGTTTAAATACGTAGAGTTGTTAGAATCGCACCTGTTGCGACGCTAGTGGTTGGTGTAATTTCCAGTAGCATAGCGTCCTTAAGAAAACAGAACAGGTCGTGCATTTTTTCCCTCATGCATAATGCTGAATGCAGTTCTTTTTTTGCCTACACAGTCGGCAGCTCTGTGTTGTGCTATAATTATTTCGGA